GATTGTGCGCCGTAGGACCGTACCCTGTGCACTTTCTAGCATACTAAAATCTTTATTTTTGTTTATATTTTATCAAAAAAATTAAGATGCACTTAAATATGATGAATAAACATTTGCTGAAAATTTCAGCTTAGTGCGCCCATTACTTTTTGAGAAAAACGCTTTGTCCACGATTTTACCGGACAACCCTCGTACTTGAAAAGGTTTCATATCAAATGAATATTCACTCAGGAAGATCCATTAGTTGCATATAAGTTTCTTATCACAGGCCTTTCATTAAACAACTAAAAATATATGTCACATGCAGAATCTCAAGCAAGACATGTGTAATGTCTCTGATGCATCCTTCATTCAAGTTTGGTCCAGACTGGGTGCATGATTGATTAGAAATGAACCTGCTCCAAAAACTTTACCCCTGTCCACCCATCTAGCATATCTAGGTAAGATGCTGTGTATGAATCAAGTCTGGTAGCAAGCATCCCTAAATTTCATCATCCATCCAATTTTGGTCCAGTTAGGGATTATCACTCCCTGGGAATAAATGATAACCTGTCAGTTATCTGGAGAATATGAGTCAGATGCAGCATTTGAACCAATTCTGGTACTGTGCATCTCCAGATACATCAATCCTGCAAGTTTGGACAGAATAGGGTTTACACTGGTCTGGAATGGATCAGCTCCAAAAACTTTAACCTGACAGGCTGATACCAAGAGTAGCTTATAACACTATATTTGATTGGTTGTAAGCAGGGTGTAAATTTCTGTACACCCGACTTGAGCCGGGGAGTAAATAACATGATGTCACAATGCATAGTTTCTCTCTCACAAAAACAAACAACATGACATCATGATGCATTGTAGCACTTAGTAAATCTTATTGATAGTTTGAAACACCAATTGTTTGTACTTGGTTTTACAAAGAATTTCTTTGGTTACATAGGAAATAAGTTCGCTATCCAGATCCAATCAAGGATGTACGGGGATTTACCCCAGGTTGTATTCAATACACCCTTCAGCCTTAGGGTGTATGGAATAAAACTCAGAGTAAATCCCCATACACCCTTGATTGAACCTGGATAACTGACATAATCACTTAAGAGAGCTCAAAAGGAAATATTCTGAATACTATACTTAGAAGGGGGGGGGAGATTTATCTCCCTTTATGCAATGTTATCCTTACCTTAATCCTTTTACAGGTACATTTCAATCATTAAACTTCCTTCTTCCATCATTAGTAATTCTGTATCATTCGTGCCACTGCATTATCACATCTACAATATATTAAAGAGAAGATGCAAAATTACTAAAAATCATTAAAGTACAACTAAGAATTTTGTGCAATTCAGCATGGCACTCTAGCAATGTTTGTGGGCAAGCAAAATTTTACTTGTTTGTGGGGACATAATTTCGTGGGTTATTTGCTTATACTGTAGATTCAATGGATCAATATATTTACTAATTAAACGTTTGTGGGGATGCAAATTCGTGGGTAAGGCTGACCTAGGAAATCCACAAACATTGGTTCCCCAATGATGATTCCACAGTATTTGATATTAAGCTACACTATTCTTTTTAAAATTTATGCCCAAACAATGAAAAAAACTTAACACCATGAATATATTTTTATATTTTTTTAGTAGAAATAACACCAAACAGTATTACAATTATTGAAATACTGGCACTGTCATTGACAAATTTAAGAAACATAGGTAATCAGAGATCACAGAGCTCACCTCAGCGAATGTTGTCTTTAAGTAAGGCAAAGTCCCACACTAAACTAATAATCTAGGAGTGTGCATCCCTAGATGCAACATTTATGCAATTTTGGTCTGATAGGGCTTGCAATTACTTAGAAATAGACTTATCTGAAAACTTTAAACTAGTCACTCATCCAGAAAATGTGTCAAATCCAGCATCTGAAGGAAGTTTGAGAGTGATCATCCCTTGATGCATCATCCATGCAATTTTGGTTCAGATAGGCCTTATAGTTTCTAAGCAATGGACCTGCTCAAAAAACTTTAACCTGGTCACTCATCTGGAAAATGTAGGTCATATCCAGCATCCGAAGCAAGTCCAGTAGTGTGGATGCTTAGATGTATCATCCATGCAACTTTGGTCAATATAGGGCTTATAGTTACTTGGAAGTGAGGTCTGCTCCAAATACTTTAACCTGGTCACTCATCTGCTCCAAAAACTTTAACCTGGTCATTCTTTAGCTGAAATTGCAACATCTGAAATCTTGACTGGTACAATGAAACACACTAGAAGCATCCTTCATGCATCTCTGATTAATATAGAAGTACTTGAAAAGAAATATGCTCCGAAAACTTTAACCTGGGATGCCGACGGTATTACATAAGTTCCCCCAACTTTGTTGAGGAGAGCTAAAAATGTATAACCTCAATTTCTGTCAATTGTAATCATGATGATCAAACAAAGGTTTTTTATGGCTATCTTTAATAGTTCCTGTTTTAAACTTCAGCAAAAATATCAAAGCTGCATGCATACATTTACACAGATTCAACAAAGGTGCTAGAAGAATACACAGAGAAGAAAACCATTACCAATCAGCAAAGATGCGAACAGGAAAGTTTACCATATGATGAATTTCATGAGATACTCTTTATTCAAGTACAAATCATTCACCATTTACAGTGAAAATGAAGTTTTTAATTTGTTTTGTTCATCAAAATTAACTCAAGCTTTTGATTTCTCATAGGAATTAAATTAGGAAAGAAATATTCAATGACCACAAACCTTGACTTGTAAAATAATGTAAAACGGTAGGTAACTCCTCAACCAAGTCCACTGACAAATCAAATTCCGTTTCACATCCACCCTACAAAATTAATGTACACATGCTTGACCTTCATATCCTTTTTCCCTTAAAGGTTTCAATTCCCATTTTTTTTCATGAAGCAATTACTGTCATATTTATTGGCAAAAGGACTCAGTTCAGGTCCGTGTATTTAAGAAATAATTCTTGCATTGGAAGAATCGTTAGAGAATATACCCCAACAGTTGAGAGATTTTGTTGGCAAATAAAAACCGGGGTATATTCTCCAACAATTCTGATGACGAGGGAATTATTTTTATTCTGCTATGGTGAACATTTAAATTTCTCTATAGAAAAATGCAGAAGCTAGATTTGGACTTCATCAGAAGTGTCTCATGATGTCACAATAGAATGCTACTCCTCGTTCATTTATATCTCAAGCTTTAGAAAAACTACCCGGTACAATGTATTGCAAACCCAAAGTAAATTTTTTCCCAACCAATTTGCATCAATCAAAAGATACCTCTGTCCTTTTCCTAGTGAACACCGTCAAAATTAGAGAGAAAACCGATTTAAATTTATTGACAATTTGTTGATGACTTTTGTCATTTATTGGAGAATAATTGTCCATGGCATCTCTCTGATCTCTGCGATAACTGTAGTAGAATTGGTGTTCTTTTATATCTGTGTGAATATGATGATTTTAATTTCTATTGTCATATTTAAATTGACACAAAAGAACATACAAAATGCCATCCTGAACCCAAACCCCTGCGATTTATTGTGTGCCATTCAGGCAGGTTTGATTGCTGGTTGCCAGATAGCTTAAGATGGTAGAGCACCTGGCTAGTCAGTAGCAGTGTTTGAAACTCACCGTAAAATAAACTAAGACATGCAGGGCTTACTGCTAGTGAAAGTTGTCAGTCCTGCCAAAAATCTACTAGCAAAGATAATAATTGTCTTTTAAAACTTTATTTTAAGCAATAACATGAACGGGGCCAGATCACCATAACTTCGATGCCGATTCTATAGGATGGCGAATTCTACCCCATTTGCTTCTTACACTTTACTACCAATACTAATGGTTGATTGAGATTTATCGAATATATGAATTTTAATATCTCCGGCGGTCGGGCGCACGGTAATTTCAAAACCGTCAGTAGTAATATAATGGGCCTGTAAGTTGCAATAATGTAGTCGACGTCCTCTCTATGATTTTTAAATATTTTGGCATGAAAACATCAGATAAAAAAAATCAGAGTGAGGACTTCACTATATTGCAGCTAGAGGCCCAGGTCTTAATCCTTCGTGGTCTATCCATCGCATCTTTCTGCTCGACAGTTAGAATTTGCCCTTTCACTATAAGTGCAGATTGCTCTTTTGCAGGGCAAATTAATAATGTTTGACAAATTTTTGTTGGCGGAAAAATGTTTATCAAACGCTGTTACTGTCATATTTCTACGAACTGTATCGATTTCCCTGCAAAGGAGCAGTACTACAGTTATCATGAAAGAGTTTATTGACAAACAAAAAAGGCAATACTGCTCAAATGCTATAAATATATAATTCTGCACCATATATTCAGAATATTCTCTGAGAAGCTATCAATATGAATCCATGAATGATCATTATTCTCTACTGAGAAGTTGATGGCTCGTTTTAACACTCCCCCTACGTACTATAAAATAACGCTATGTTTAATCAATGTCATGAATATTTTTAAAAACATATTTTCTTGAGGAGTATATTCACAACGAGCCATCAACTTCTCAATAGAGAATAGATGATCATTCATTCATTGGCATGGCTTAGACTAAAGTTACTATTAAAGTTCATTTTATAATGCTTAATAGTGTGTATGAAACAACATCGCAATGATATATCATTAATCAAAAAAAAAAACACCTGTCCAGTTATTTGCATTTTGAGACATAGGTATTTGTCACCCGTGTCTGTGGGCTGTACAGTTACCCAGCCTGCGCCTTTTTTCTGCAACCTTCAGAAATTAACTCGTTCTTGAAAATTTACAAATGCGTGAGTATTGGATAAACTAAATATGATGCATATTTATATTGAAATATGACGATTTTCAAAGAAAATACATTGTTTTGATATGTGGAATCGTATAATAGTTTCATTAAATCTGAAAATGGCTATTTCCAATTTGTCGAATATTTTACGTATAACTTATCTTTATGGAATTTGCAGCGGGAGATTTGATTTATGTTTGCGGTTTGCCTAAAACCGTCGTGCAGGTTGTCGAGTCAGGTGGGAATCAATGATAACTCAAAAGATCTTTTTTATTGAAAAAATTATATAACAATAACCACTGTATAACAATTTCTCTTTGAATATGCAGATTATCCTTTTATGTTGAACAGCAGACTTTTTCGAATTTCCTCGAGTTAGTAACAAAACATCTGCCAATCTCTTGTTTCAACTTCACTGTTACGATAGTGCAATTAATGAACATTCTTGAGTATAGATGTATTATAGAAATGACACTGTAAGTATTCTTTATTTTAAAACAGGACTGATTTGTTTGCTTGCCTGACCATTTGCTGATAATATACCTGACATGTCATTCAACGTGAAAATTGAAATTTAGTTTGGTGGAAAAAAGCTGTTAACTACTATTTATTCAACATGTTGTCAACAAGGAGTCGATTCAGGGGTAAGATATAGTTTTACTGCTTTAAATGCGAAAAATGGGTGTGGATATATGTTACGCAGGCCTAGTCCAAAGACTATTTCTACCTATGTAGCTATTAATAGCTACCTAGTTATTTATAGCAGAGACATATGTCTCTGTTTATAGCTACTTGAACTAGCTACTTCTGTCTCCTTTTACCTGTCTTTGAAAATACAAATAAATAATAATTAAGGTGAATCTTTAAAACAGGTCAGACTTGTTGTTTATCATGTTGTGTCGATGGAACGTTCTATCGTTAAAATGATATTGTTGTGCAATTGCACAGCAAAATTCGGGGTTTTAATTTGAAAACTTTACGAGGATGGAGAATGGAAAGGAAATGCATGAAAAATCGTCCCAAAAACCTTTTATTTAAAAATTCATGAAGTTTTAAAATTTTTACAGATTGCAGATTTGTAAGACATTTTAGGCTTCTTACCATGTAGCTTTGATCTTTATCTCCTAGAAAATGGAACTGGGTGTAGTTATTGATGCAAAATTGATATGTTAGAAAGTAATCATTTTTTGCCAAAATTGTTGTTGTATTCATCATGTTCATTGTCAATGTCAGTGTGACTACATGTATTATTAGTTACATAGTTTTTTAGTGACAGGGTACGGGATGATACCTGGTTAGTAAATTTCATACCTGGCGAGGCGAAGCCGAGCCAGGTATGAAATTTACTAACCAGGTATCATCCCGCACCCTGTCACTAAAAAACTATGTAACGAATTTACCCCACCGATGAAATGTTAGTGGTCTGTGGTTTGTAAAAATTTTTTTTCACTATAAATATGCTTCATCACTCATACAATGCCTATTATGACGTCACGTTGTGTGACGTAATGTTGTTTTGCGAGTGTTTCGTGCTGTAATAACGTACTGAGTTTTGAAGACTTTCAGTAAAGGGAGAAAAAGGTTCCATCTTCGTTACTTACATTAGTTAACTGTAACATTGTCAACAGACACTCGGCAAATCGCGTGAACTCTAGTTGTTCGAACGTTACAATAGAACGATAACTCCACATCGACCATGTATTGATTTTCAAGCGACTAGGTATAAGTAATACACCCCCTTCACGTGACAGACTTCAACCAATCGTAAGCCAGGATTTCATCAAAAAATCAACAGAGGTGGGGTAAATCAAGAAATGTGGTACATGTATCACCATATTGCGCATTCCCATGTTTGGCCAAGAAATGCAAGTAAAGCAAAAATTATGTGAAAATAGCTACCTGGAGGTAGCTATAACTAGCTATGTAGGTAGAAATAATCTTTGGACTGGACATGTTATGCTTATAAATCTTTTACTTTGGGTATATCACTTGGGAACTGGCTGGACGTACATGCATATGGCACAGTTGTGGTAGTTCAGGCAAGGTACCCATTCAAGCAGGTTTGCAGTGAGTTTGTAGTCAGATATAACTTGGTGGAACACTAGCACCTATCTTGAGTTCAGGTGGTAAATCCAAATCAGGTTCACTTCAGTGTCATTTATTTTCTCCTTTCCTGTTACATTTGGGAAATGCCCTGGGAGTGACAGATGAAAGACCCTCTAGGAATGAACTTGGGTTGAAGACTTCACACACAACGGCAACAAAGGAAAGAGGAATGGGGCAATTTGAAAGGCTATTTGTTTGTCAGTGTAATTCAGATGCTAGAGCACCTGTCAAGAATTCAGGGTACCTGTGGTACAAGAGGGAAATTGCTGGTCTGATCTGTGGCATTTTTCCCTTCCTCTCACATGATCTATTTTTGTATTTATATGACGCAGAATTTATTCAAAATCTTATACATGAGAAAAAGAAATCTCTTGCTGTATGAACAATTTCTAAAACGAGATGAGTTATTGACAAAAAAGTTGATGAAACAAGAATATCAACAGTCTTGTTCAAAGTCATCATTTTGTAAGTTCTATGGTCTATACAATGACCTTGTCAGCAAATACAATCTATCATTAAGTCATATGCTGAGTGACGTTTTTCATACTAATTGTTAGGACATTATTTACACACTGAATTGTCTTTGGATTTTTCTGTTTATTTCCCGATCATGACAAGGAGCACACGGCGGGTGTGACCGGTCAGCAGGGGATGCTCTCTCCTCCATGGCACCTGATCCCACCTCTGATGTTTTTGGAGGTCCTTGTTTGTTCTGCTCCCGATTTGTATTGTTTTAACGGACTTTGAGCTTGAATACTGTTCGTTATCTCCATATTTCATGATGAATAATGTAAATATTAGGTACATGTATACTGATTGATATGAAAGATGTACCAAGGTAGTTGGACCCCTATCCTACATCTACAATATTGTTTATTAAAGAATGATGTAAAATTCTGGTTTAAGAAAGACAAATATATTTGAAAATCTTCAATAAGACTAAAATTCAGAGACAGTTACAGAACAGTGTTTCTATTTAAAACTTGTCAGCCGAACAAATGATAAAACTTTGAGAGGCTAGAGACATTATGTAACATGTTTCCATTTTATTTCACTTACATTCATGACTAAAAAAAAGTGTAATGACAATAGTCTGGAAAAAGTAATTTTTGGATTATCATGATCCTAATTTGAAGAAGAAAAAAAAAAGAAAAGAAAAAACAAACATGCAGTGGGACTGGGGTAGATGGAAAAGGGACTGGGTAAACACTAACATGATTTTTACCCAATTTGACTACCCTATAATTATAAGACAGGTAAATTACACACTGTCAGACCTGTATATTTTACCCAAAATTAATGGAGGTTTTACAAGAATCTTCAATTTCAGAGTTTGCTCTAGTGATTTAAAGCAGTGATTATAAATTCTCAGATTATTTTTTTTTTTAATTCCAATTTTTAATTCAATTTTATTCCATTAAAATTGTATTTATTTCTTTAACAGTACTGAGTGAAATAGCAGAGGAAGAGTTGGCAGAGTTGTCTCAGAATAGTCACGGAGATCAGGAAGCTGGACGTGCTCAAATCGAGGCTCGCCGTGACCAAAGACGAGCTAAAATAACTCAGGAATTATTCGAAACAGAGAAAACCTACCTCAATCATCTAGAACTCATAAATAAAGTTAGTACCGTTTTTTATTTATTAATAAGATAACTGTTCAAATTCTAGTGAAAATCATCTTCGCTAGACAAGGGTTTGGGTTTCACTCCACTCTCCATGGGAGTGGAGTGGACAAAAAACCCTTGGCTAGCGAAGATGAGTGAAAATTTAAAGTCCAAGATTCCTGCTTGAGAAATGTTTATCTTGTATTTTATATAGTGCATGAAACATGGTTAACCAATTTTTTAGGTAAGAAATGTACATGTACACTGTTCATTTCACTCTAGTTATTCATGTATAAATTTTGTATTTTCAGCATTTTGACTTTTCGTTGCGGTTTAATTGTCTTATCCCTGAGGATGTTCATGGTCAGATCTTTAGCAATGTGGAACAGATCATGGAAGTGAACAAAACATTGCTAGAACACATGGAACAGACCACTGTTGGTGAAGCCTTTAAGCACCTGGGACCATTCCTGAAGCTCTACTCATCGTATGCCAACAACCATGAAAATGCCATTACTTTACTACAGGTAAATTGATAACCCCTGACTGCTGTCACTATATTACAGGTAATTTTGTCACTTGAAAAACACCATCCTCTAGTGCCAGTAATTTTGAAACCACAAAACGCAATTAGTATACTGAAAGAGTAATTTTGTCACCTTACTGGAAAGTCATTGTCACAAACCCTAGGTCAGTCAAGCTTCTCTTACCTAGGTAAAAGAAGGGAGACTAGCTTTGGGTTTCCAACAATGAAGAAATAAATGTGCTTAGTACAAGCATAGGAAAGATTCTTTTTGCAACCAGTTTAAAGTCCATTACAATACAACTTCAGATACATAGCCTCTGACTTATATTTGCTGGTTATTTGACCAGGTAAAAGGTCTTGAAGCAAGACCTTTTCTAGTTAATATGAGCCTTACTAGGACCAAAATTGAAAGAAAAATGTATGAAAGGACATAACTCTTGCTTCAGATACATTGCAACTAATCAACATGTTTTTTATTTTATCATTAAGATTAAAATGTTAGGAGCATGCCCATTCTAAAGTGACATTTTAGCTCACCTCAACGAAGTTTGGGGAAGTTTAATATGTAATACAGTTGGTGTTGGCATTCCAGGTTAAAGTTTTTGGAGCAGATTTCTTTTCAAGTATTTCTATGCCCTTCATTAATCAGAGTTGCATGGAAGATGCTTTTAGTATGTTTAATTGTACCAGTCAAGGTTTCAGATGCAGAGAGAATTTTTTGCTAGCTTTAAGAATATAGAAGTCACTCCATTGATAGACTTTATTTTTAATTAATACAGCCTTTTATACCCCTGATGAGACTTTCAAATAACATCAGAATTCCAAAACTTTATTGCACATCTCAAGGACAGATAAATCATATTGCAAAAAGAGCATTTGGCCTCCTCTGAAACATAGTCATTTTGAAAATATAGGAGGCATTCTGATGGAAAGAATGTGCAACAGACAGACAAGGATGGCAAGAAGGAACTTGAACTTTCAAGTGCACATATTTGTTGTTTTATTTCAAGAAATTATTACGATAGCAGAGATAGACATTAACTTTCAAATCCAAGGGAAGTGAACAACTTTGACTTCTTAGTTGCAGGAAATTTAGAAGGAGAAATAATTCGGTTTAATATTTATATTTTTACATGTAATTCAAAAATTGGAATACTAAAAGTTGATTTTTATTTGCTATCCTTAAGAGGAAATAGTTCTAAGCAATGTCATTTATCCCTGATTAGAAAGTAGATGAGGAACACCTATTGATTAAAGTGTGACTTCTTCCATTGAATTACCTAAGGAAGCTAAAGAATAAAACTTACAATACTTCCAGATTTTACTCCTTGTGCATACACAAATTGAGAGTAATGAAGTTTTATCTTTTAGATTAAAGAGTGTGGATTTGAAATTTCCACAGAGTATGTTACTGTATGATAAAATTTCTAACCATTTGTTTGTATGAATTTATCAATTCAAAAACAAATATTTGTTCTATATATTGACTAGAAATTTTTGGAATTCTAAAGAAACTGTTATCTTTTACAGGAATGGAGGCAGAAAAGTCCTGGCTTTAATGAATTTATACAGAAACAGGAAGAGAGACCAGACATGATGGGGTTAAAGGTCAATGCACTACTTATAACTCCAGTACAGAGAGTTCCTAGGTAATACTGTGCAATTTGTAAAAGTGTCTGTGTCATATATGCATTTTTATGCCCCCGTATCGAAGATTCTGAGGTATATAGTTTTTGCCCTGTCCGTCCGTCTGTCTGTTTGTCCGCAAAAACATTAACCTTGCCCATAACTTTTGATTGGTTGGAGCTATGGCTTTCATATCTCACATGTGTATTCCTTATGACAAGACCTTTCTTTGGGTACCACCATATTTGACCTTTTGGCCTTGACCTTGGAGTTTGACCCAGTTTTGCAAAATTTTATGAGACTTTAACCTTGGCCATAACTTTTGAACAATAAGAGCTAGGGCTTTCATACTTCACATGTGTAATCCTTGTGACAAGACCTTCTTTTGAATACCAACAACTTTGACCTTTTGACCTTGACCTAGGAGTTTGACTTACTTTTGAAAAACTTTAACCTTGGCCATAACTTTTGAATGGTTGGTGCTAGGGCTTTCATATGTCACATGTGTAATTCTTGTGACAAGACCTTTCTTTGGATACCAACAACTTTTACCCTTTAACCTTGACCTTGGAGTTTGACCTACTTTTGGAAAAGTTTAACCTTGGTCATAACTTTTAAACGATTGGTGTTTCGGCTTTCATATTTCACCTGTGTATTTCTTGGGAGAAGACCTTTCCTTGGGCACCATTAATTTTGAACATTTGACCTTGACCTTGATGTTTGACATACTTTTGGAAAAAAATTAACCTTTTCCATATATATTCAATGGTTGCTGCTAGGGCTTTCATATTTCACAGGTTTATTCTTCGAGACAAGACCTAACTTTGGGTACCAACATATTTGATTTGCATTTGAGAAAGTTTAACCTTTGCTATAAGTTTTCATACGGGGGCATCAGTGTTTCACAAACACATCTTGTTTAAAGATGTCTCTGTAATATTAAAAATGTCTCTGATACATGTATTTAAAAAAAAAAAGGAAGAATAAAAAAAACGGAGAATTTAACTGCAAGTTTTTTTTTTTTTTGCATGTATTACAGCATTTTTTCGATTTTATTATAATGCGTAAATTTGTGTAGGTACAAGTTACTGTTGGAAGATCTATTAGAAAACACTTCAACAGATCACCATGACTATGAGGCATTAAGAGGTAACATTAATTTAACATTATACATGTATCTGAATTCTATATTTATTTATGTTACATTATATGTTTCCATGGGATAAATATTAAAGGAAGGAGAGGTGACATGTTATTTTGTTTGTGCTAATAAATACCATAGAACACATATGTGGACATAATTTGGGGGGAAAAAATTTGTATTAAATATTTACTGTAGCTAAATTCAATTTTTTTCTTAGTGACTGCTTTCTGTTAAATATATTTATCCTAATGGCAATCTTCAGTTAGAATTGTATGTTATTAAAGAAAAACAGTTTGCTGGTCTAAATCACCTTTGCCACATTTATAGTATTCCATTTATGTTTGAAAAGGTCTTGTTTGCAGTAGAAAATCTTAGACTCATACTCTGAATTGGTGTTCAAATTTCAATATTCCACCCACTATTTCATAACTTATCAACATGAAATATTTATGCCACTTTTTCTACCTGCCATGGATGTCCCTTGGGCAAATAGTGTTTGTCATGTCTATCCTTCCCTCTGTCCTTCCATTTGTCTGTGTTCCATTTTCTATTTAGCTCAGATTCAAATAAACTGTTCAAGAAATTTTCATCAAACTTTATTCACTGGTACATGTTGGTTACAGCAATTCAAATGTGCCTGAATTTTCTTACCATGACCTTCCCGCTTAAAAAAATGATTTTATATTTACTCTAATAAATTGACTTGATCAAGGACCTTTTTTCCCATTTATCTAGAGGCTGTTCAGAAAGTCAGTGACATAGCCATTCATATAAATAATCATATTAAGCAACATGAAAACTTCCAAAAAATGCTCAGCATACAGAAATGCTTTGACAAGTCTGCACCAAAAATCCTCACTCCAGGCCGAGAATTCATCAGGGAAGGGATTCTGAAAAAGGTAAGTATCAAACCAACAATTCTGGCTGATGTTGATGCTGATGTGAAATTAACCTATTTTTATAACATTTAGTTAAATCAGCTGCTTGATACACACATCCCTGAACTTTTCTTCTGGTAGTGGTTTGATTTTGGATTGAATACAAAAGAATCCAGCAATTAAAGAACACTAGTAAATTATTGTGGATTCCGTTATTTACAACATAGTCCATTCTTCTACTTTATTTTAATACATGTAGTTAATACTACCTGTAATGTTATCCAACTCTGAAATGGAGTGAAAGATTGAAATTGATTCCTTCCTTTGTCATGAACATGTATTTGAATTTTTGTCACCTGAAGAACCACCACAAAATCTCTTCATTATTGTTACAGGTTTCCAAAAGAGGTGGAAAACCCCACGACAGGATGTTCTTCCTGTTCTCAGACATCTTGATTTACGGGAAACCTCGGCTACTGGACAGTATTACTAACTCGTACACCTGCTGTTGTGTGCTGCCACTGAAACACTGTCAACTAGAAACTGTGTTTGGGGGCACTAAACGGGGTACACAGGAAAAGGCAGAGGCAGGGGGCATGTTCAAGGTTAGTTTCTGAACAGTTCATGGGATATATTGAATGTTTAATCATGTTTCTAAAGCAGTGGAAAATAATGTCTTTAGGATTGTCCTATGCACTCATTTTCAATTTTGAATCAGCTTAAATGTATTTTCATAATGGTCATGCATTATTTATTACCATCAATCATAATTATGCTGTACATTAATTTTTATAAATTCTTTAAGAATTAAGGAAGCTCTAAACACTGAAAACTAAGGAGTTTTATTTGTAGGGTAGTTTCATTCAGTTACTAGAGTGATCTGCCCTTAGAAGAAATACAGAATAAACGGGAATCTACAGTTAATGATACAATTTGTAATGAATTAAAGTAAACATATTCTTAATTTTATATTAGGCCAAGATTAAGTAATTGAATACATTATTTTCATTAATTTTCCCAATATAAGTAAACAACAGTGATTTCTGTTCACAAATAGTTCATTGTTTTTGAATATTTTTTTTCCAGGAGAAATAAGTTAGGTACCCTATGTTGAAAATGGACTAGATACACTGAATAAGTGCACTTATATATTTTTTCTCAGATTCTAAAAAGCATTTTTTGTTAGTTTTAGAGCTTTCTTAAAACTGTGTTGCATTTTAAAGTGTCATGTTTGCCATAAAGATGCAATCAGATTAAAATCAGGTCATTGATTTTTTTTATTGACACTTCAGTATGTAGTGACAATTAAAAAAAAGCAGTGGATTGAGGATCTAATCATTTAAATCAGTTTGAATAAAAATATAAATTTGCAAAACATGAAATTGCTTATTTTACAGATAACCTGTAAAGATGAGAGTTTACTGCTGTTTTCAAATGATCCAGATGACATGAAAAGCTGGATTAAAGAACTGGATTCAGCCATCAGGTTCAGTTTTGATTCAGATCATCAGCTCTGTATCATTTATAGCACTGTTGATCTGAATGCTTAATTTTACAAATTCTTTGTTTACATACCATCATAAGATATGAAAGATACTTTTCAATCTAAATGTTTTAATTTTTCATCAAATAATAGTCATGTAATCATATTCAACTTCATACTGAAAATTAATCGACAACGGTATTGTAGGAGACTGAGTAACAATCGATCTACGTTAAGGAAACCAAGCAGCAACAAGGCTCCGATGAGGGGAAGGTCACTATGGAAACAACGTAAACTAGAGAAACAGAGAGATCAACAGGTATTAAAAGTTAACTGAATGAAAAAGGTGAAGATAACGAACAGTGATCAATCTCAAATAAAAAGTCTACAAACAATACAAATCTGTGTACAGGCACTACAGGGCATAAAACATGGACCCCCGGAAATATCAGAGGTGGGGTCAGGTGCCTAGGAGGAGTAAGCATCCTCTGAAACACTGGCATCTGACCTGATATTCTATACAGTTACTTGGCATAGATATGATTTTGGCAAGCTTGCAAATGTAAATCAGGTACATGTGCATGAGTTCATGAAATTTTTTATTTGTATTTATACACATGTATTAGAATCAATAAACAGTTGTTACGTTACTTAGAAGATTTTGAGGGTAGGAGTGCAAGTTGAGAGAAAATACATGTAGATTGAATGAAAATAAGTACACCAGATAGATTTAATGGTATGTGTATGAAAATGCAAATTAAAAGATTTTTTACAAATGAAGTTTGATATATACGCTATGTATGTTTTTCATTTTAAGCACAAGAGGAAGGTGTGAGAATATGATTTACAAAGTAAGACTGTTTAATTGTAATTAAATGTGAATAATAAATATGACAGCATATTTTCTTTCAGATTCGTCGCATTATCCAGAAAGATGAATCTGAGTGTACTAAATTATCTCCATTGAAGCTCATATCAGAAATAGACACCAATAAATGCCTGTCTCCTTGGAAACGAGCTAAATTGTGCTCTTCTGAACTTTCCTCCACACCTTTGGGAATTTCTCAGACCCGAAGTGGACGACCAATTAGACCACCTCCACCACAGCCAGAGTTCTCAGAAAATATTCCACCAAGAGTATTACAGATTTCTTTATATAATGTTCAGTAAAAAACATACAATCTTGAATTTTTACCTAAGGCTTGGCTTCAATGATAATTTTTTTCCCATCTATTACTGACAAAAGTTCTAAGTAGCATATTTATCATTTTACATTATTCAGACATTTGTCATGGCATTTCGTGATCCATGTATATGTATATCCCTGTTTATTAATATTTCAGGTGGATCTAGAAAATGGCCCTGTGTTTTCCCCTATAGTTCCACATTCTGATAAGCCTGACAGTGAAGATGAAGATTCCTTCTTGCAGATGACAATGGGGGACATAGGGAATGCTACTGTAGAATTTGACTCATTCTGTAGATCAGGGAAAGATGAAAAAGTAACCATAGAAAAAGGTACAAAGAGGAGTGTGATGGTCCATGGTAGGGAGGGCCGGACAGGATCCAGATTGTATGGTCAAGAACACCTGACAAGACGACCACTAGAAAGGTACTTAAGAAAGAAATCATTACCTAAACTTCATTACTTTTGATTTTAAATGAACAGTTTAACATCCCTACAGCAAACACTCTTATAATGAATTCATGCTTACAGCAAAGTGATTTTCATTTCCCATGGCTTTAAAATATACCCGGTATTGTGAATTTAACGGATATAACAAATTACGTTTATAATGAAGTAAAATCATCCATTCCTGGCACTTTTGTATAAGCATGTTTTACTGTAATTCTAATTAAGATTTCAAGAATTTAATAATATTTTGATCTTTTAATTTGTATCTTATTTCAATGTAGTGAGAAATATTTTAATCTGGAATTTTGTTGTATCCTCAAACAAATTTCAGCAAGTTCATGTACATTGTACATGTATTAGCACTCTGTGTCATATTACATTGTAATTCATGCATGTATTGTATTTTTCTAGTTTCTTTTTTTCTGCCTGTAGGTTGTCAGAGAGAGGTAAAACCCTCAGAAAAAGATGTACAAGTGCTTTAGAGAGTGCCCAGACTCGGATTAATGAGACAAAGTCCTACTGTAACGTTCAGTGAAAACTAACATCTCAGGAGGGCCACAGTGTGTATCCTGTGACCAAGTGATCCACAGTGTATCATGTGACCAAGTGATCCACAGTGTGTATCATGTGATTAAGTGATCCACAGAGTGTATCGTGACCAAGTGATCCAAGGTGTGTATCATGTGACCAAGTGATCCACAGATATTACATTATTTAAGAAAAGTTTATAACTGAATACTTAATAAAAGTATCATCTAACTAAGGAACCTTTATTAATCTAGTGCATCTATGTGTATTATGTTGTTTGAAAAATTTATGTTTCTTGGTGTGCATGCTGAAAATTTTGTTTGAAATCTGAAAAGGGTTCTAAAAAAGGTGGTATCATGATCTAGATATTTTTTATTCTTAGCAGATAATGCATTTTAATTGCTATGAATGAAATGCTTTAAAATATGAAAAAGAGTTGCATGTACAGTGCATGATCATGCATCTCTGGTTTTGGTGCAATATACTTTTTCTTTTCAAACTAAAAAGTTAATTTTTTACATATTTTTAAGTCTATGTTCACTTGAACCTTTACAAATGTATGTACATGAAAATGAGATAATTTTTAAATTGTACCTGTTGCAAACATATTAATACAAGAATAATTTCTGTATTGGAAAGCTTCCTTGTTCTTTCCACATCTGCAGAGATTGATTCCCTTTGGTAAACTTTAAATGTCATACGTGTCCATGTATGCATCATGACAGTAAACAGAGATATTTATTCCTAAGAGCTCTACTTTTTGTTTCTTGTGGAATTCCATGTTGATGTTTAATACATTAAAATCATTTTTTGTTTGAAGAAAACAAAACATGATTAATAATCTGATCGAAATGTACAAGATCATCTTATTTTATTGTTCTTTTGATTTTTAATAACCACATCCATTACAGATTTTAACACAGTTATTCAAGTATCTCAAAACATATTTTTTTTTAATGTAGCAATAACAAAAAGCATGATACATGTACATATAACTTTTCAGTATTATTGAGATAAAGGTTAGTGGGCTCAATTTGTAAATGTGTATTCCATGTGTGTAATATTCTGAATTGTTTAATTTTTTTTTTTACTTCATATCATACTTAATAATATCATCCGTAATAATACATATACTGGGTATTTGGTTTTTTTCTTAAAAAATTGTTTGACACATATTGGCTTTTGTGCTGATTTTGATTTTTAGAGGGTAATGACTTTTAGATTAATTTTCTAAACTTGATAAAATTTTAACTCCATGTATTTTTAGAACAGTTGTTTAACACAATTTCAACTGAGAAGTGGTTTTTCAAAATAATTTATAGGGAATAAAATTGAATGTGCTTGATGAAAGTATCATCCATTTTGGTGATTAGTATTTATTTTATATTGAAAATGTTTTGTCAATAAATATCAAATTTTGCCATTTATTATATATTTTATATGAATACAGTTCGTTTCGATTTTAATGATTTTTTTTTCTCCCACACTGTACCACCCCCACCCCAAAAAAGGGGTATTGTTATTGTTTTGCCTCATTTATTGTATTCCATAACAATAAAAACAAAACTACACAATTATGGTGTCACAATATAATGTAGCTTATAACAAACGTTTATATTTACAATTGTACATCAGATGGATACAATTTTGCAGGCCCGTAGGAAGCAATTTCAGGGGTTTTTTTGGGGGGGGGGGGGCACAACCATTCATTTTCAGTTGGGGGACACTATCAACTACCAAAAATTCCTTGACAAGCAAACATGCCTAACAACGCAATTCAGGGAATAAACATTTTCATTTTCCCCTTTAAGATACAGAAGAAATGGGTGGAGGAACTGGAAATTCAGACGGTGAGATACAAAGAATTAACTTTTCGCCTCAAAATCAATAGAAGTCATTGTAAGGTTATGTAAGATTCACCGCTTTAATCAGTAGCGTTCTTGTTGAAATCAGGAAGTTATAAAAATTGCAAAATCTCAAAGGAAGTTATTTAGGGAAATCATTTTATGAAATAAATGCATTTCTGAACCTTGGTCTTTGACGTCATAATCAATAGGGGGTTCCTTTAAAAATCTAGCACGCAAAGAAAAAAAATAATAGTAACACTAAGCAAAAGTGGAAGGAGGGGTTATCAAAATTATCTGACAAGCAAAAAAAAAAAAGGCTAATTTAATGTCCAAAACCTGGAAATAGTCTGTGCTCCAGCTTATACGATCAAAAAAAAGGGGGGGGGGACCAGCATCTAGAGGAAAATTTAATATAGCAAAAACTATACTTATAAAAAAGTGCCCCCCTCCCCCACCGCGTTCTATGGGCCTGTAAAATAACATTTCATGTGCAAAAATTCTAAAGAGAACTAAGATTATTTTCCGGAAAGCATTTTATGCAATTAATATGTGATATTTTTTTCTCCTCAAACTTAATAGGGGATCTTCTTTTACGAAAGCCTATTAGGATCAAACTACGGTAAAAAAAAAAATTAAAAGGCGTAATAACGCCTTTTGAAAAGGAGTTATAACGCGGAAAAAGGCGTAATAACGCAAATAAAGGCGTTATTACGCCTTTCCAAATGGCGTTATTACGCCTCTTATTTTTCAATACTTGACTTACTTAGCCCACCCTGGGGGCTGATTGTAATTAGATTTCCAGGAAAAAAGATTTTTTAATGTGTAAAATATTTTCAGTGTTAAACCAACTTAGTTCTTCTCTGATGCCAGACACCTCCACTAAGGTACATGGATTTCAGAAATTTGGTTGAAGGCTAATTGCTCATTATACCTATGCAAATAGTTTGCCTGTTTTTTTTTTCAAGAGGAGAGAAAAGTATTTCAAATTTGACATAATTTTTTAATACATGGCTAGCAAAGCCCAAAGCTGGCTCTGCCTAATCCTGGATTTTCAAAAGTAGAGTGTTGACTTCTCTTGATACGCATGCAAACAGCTGTCTGCGAGATGTGCAGGAATATAGAAAATACTATAATTTATAATATGATTTATAATATTTAAAACTATAATCTAAATATTGCATAAATAAAGATGGCTTTGGTTCAATCTTTCATATATTTATTATTTTAAAATAACGCCTTTCCATTTTTGGATATACATGTAACTTCTTTTCAAACAGGCCGGTAGTAGGAATGCGAGTTGGGGGGGGGGGGGGGCTCCCCCACCCCACTCTTTGGGAGAATAGTCTTGATATAGTTTAAGCATAAAAAAAATCATTTATTGATTGCTTGGTCCCTTAACATTTTGTTGCAGTATGGTTAAACTCGGGCAAGTCATTGCATTTAAAAAAAATTTACCGAAAAGTTAGAAAAAGATTCCCATCAAGTTTAGGCAGTTTATTTTTTTTCGGGGGGGGGGGGGAGGGGGGGGGTTCTTGTTTTTTGTTTTTTTTTTTGTTTGCTTGTCAATTTTATGGGAGGCTGCCCCCCCCCCCCCCCACTTCAAAAGCACGGGCCTGTCAAAGACATAATGATGGCTTTTCAAAAGGCATAATAACGCCTTTTGGAAAGACGTATTAATGCCTTTTAGAAAGGCGTGATGACGCCTTTTAAAAAGGCGTAATAACGCCTTTTGGAAAGGCGTAATAACACCTTTTGGAAAGGCGTAATAACGCCTTTTTCAAAGGCGTATTACCGCCTTTCGAAAAGGCGTAATTACGCCTTTTTCGCGTTATAACGCCTTTTGGAGAGGCGTAATTAGCCTTAATTTGCGTTATTGCGCCTTTTTCCGCGTTATAACGCCTTTTTATTTATTTTTTTTTTACTGTAGTTTGATCCTAATAGGCTTTCGTATTCTTTACATCATAAGGAGAAAGTTAAAAAAAATCATTGAAAAAGTGAAAGGACTTGAAGTGATGTCACCCGAAAACTAAAAGCGTTGCAGAATGACGGACAGGTACGCCTTGGAAATGGCCATGCATCCCCCGCGTTAAGCGAAAGCGATGAACATAAGCAAACCTCTGCGTAGATCACTGTCATGTTGTTAATTGAATTTATCGGGTGGCAATGATCAGTGGCGGATCCAGGAATCTTGAAAAGAGGGGGCCCGACCAGTTTGGGGTCGGGGTAGGGGCCCATGGCCACACCCAAAAAATTGATTTATTAAATCTTATGTACATTTTGAATACAAAAGGGGGCCTGGGCCCCCTGCTCCCCTCCCCCTCTAAATCCGCCAGTGCTAATTGAATTGCCTTCAGTCTATGTCTTAATAAAGATTAGGGATGCCGGTCTTGTAATTTATTTTCAAAGAAAGAGGGCGTACAAGGCGAAGACAATCCCCCACTCCGAGAATATATTTCTTAATTTTCAAAGTTCACGGAAAAGTTACATTTTTCTAAAATTGTGTTGTCAGTAATGTCATCTTCAACACATTTTATTCATTCATTTTACTGAATGACTTATAGTGATTGATAATTTTTTTTTTTTTTTAAGTTGACAATTAAGCATATTTAGTGGAAAATGGGTATATTGAAGCCACAAAAAATTATTTTTTTGATTTATGAATGGGCAAGTCTCCATTCTACGTTAACATTTGAATTAATTATAATGACGGAAATGTAAATGTAAAATTAATTTTATGTTTCAAAAAATGGAGTCTGGACCCATTCTATATAAAAATCGAACTTTTCTGAAAAAAAAAATATGTTTATTTAAATCACGCTGAGACACATCAATGACCAAGAAGACATCGCGCATCGTAGTGACCAGTTTAACGCCTATAACCGTGAACTTTGGACCGCAGTGAGTTCGAATCATGTGGGAAACTCTTTTTTCACATACCTTAAAAACGTAAGTGAAAATAAATTATTCATCAATAAATTATTGAATAAAATAAAGGAAGCAACTGTGTGAAAAATGAGATTAAGTTTAGAAAAATGTAACTTTCCTTGAACTTTAGAATTTAAAAAAATGTCTTTTCTCAGAGCGGGGGATTGTCCTCGCCTTGTATGCCTCCATTCCTTTGACAAGAGTTGAATTTACATTTTTAAGGGATTTAAATAAGATAAAAAAGGAGTCCATAATTCGAAATTCTTGATATATCGAAAACATTTTTGATAATACTCAATAATTCTTTTTATGATATCAGAAAATAACTAAAAAAATTAAATAATTTTTTCTCTCAAAGTTTTCATGAATTAAGAAGCAAATTCAGATATTTAAAAGTCTTATTAATTTAATTTTACAATATTTTATTATACATAATCATAATAGAATTGAACAGCAGGCAAGTTGCCTATACAAGTCCTCTCCATAATACAAGGTTAAAGTCTTATTGATTGTGGTTTAAAGATTTATGGCATATTGCAACTTTTGTCTGTTTTACTATGATATTTTTGAAAGTAATATGCACTGGTACAAAAGTTACAGCCAAGACTTAAGTTTTTGAGAGTCAACCTTCATAATCTAGACTATGAAGAAAATAGTTGAAGTCCAATTTGAGGTCGTATCACAATACTCAGGAATTCTTTGCCCCTCCGGTTCAGAAAACTGAAAATGCACAAAGGTGTCACTGAATTAACAATGTAATGTGTATCTAGCCACGTAATTTTCTTTGCAGTTCACCAATATGTGTATCATAATATATAGAGAAAGCAAAATATCTCATTTTTTTAAGGTAGCGTGGATAACAAACAATAATTATATCCCTCCCCTTTTCCCCAAACATAATCTTACACTTTCGAATATGTTTATTGAAAGCTTGGTCCCCTTTTTTTGTTGCAGTGTACTCAATTAAGGGTAATATGGTAATGTATGAATAAAATTTGGTTATGAAAGAAGTTTGGAACCCCCCCCCCCCCCACTTTTTCTTCACCAGAAAAAAATTCTTGTTTGGACAATTTTCTTTTCTTTATTGAATTTATTTATTAATTTTTTTTCTTTTGTTTGTTTGGTTTTTTTTTTGGGGGGGGGGGGTTAAAGTTGCAATTTTTCCCCCTAGCTGGCCCTCTTCAAACACTATATAAGTACTGCCACGTTTCATTTAAAAATAAAGAATTTTGAATGAATAAATGACTCAACAGTTTTTTTATGTGAAATACCTATTTTATCAGGGTTCAATTATTTTTATAAAATTAAATTTAAAGCGAAAGAAAAAAAAAAAAGAAGTCGTGCTCACGGCTCATGAAAAACTTCTTTTGCGACATACCTTATGCAACTCTTTTGTCAAGGAAAGGAAGAAAAGGTATGATAAAGTTGATGGCAAGGAAAGAAGTAGACGTCTTTGGTTTGCAAAACATTTTATCTAAAAAGTATAATTTTACGATTGATGCGAGTCAAGCACCTGATATGTTTATTAATATTCTATTTTTACAGCAAAAACTTCCATTAGGCACTTAAAGGTTGCAGTTGCCTTAGCTTGCATCAGGTCCAAACCAAATGGACTGTCTGCTAGGCAGTATGCCGAGCAACTTTGTGCTCGGTACCGTGCTGAAGAGAGTAGATGGAAACAAAAATATGAACAGGCAGAGATGACAATCCTTAAGCTGAAACAAACGCAAGAATTACAATCATATATAAATTTTTCAGGTGATTACTTCTAATATGTTGTGGGTAATTCATACTTGTATGTTTTAACTTTTATTGTTGATGTTTTAACATTCAGGTTGGAGGATATCAATCATGTATGCATTAATCTTTCTTAACTGAGACAGTTTTAGTTCATATTAGTTTTTCACCATCTCACAAAATCATTTATAAACAATAAAACATTTTATCAAAGATACCTATATGCTTCTTTCCCCCCTAAAAATTAAGCTCATAAAGAATAAGCATCATAACAATATATTGTGAATCTATTTTGTGTTGAACATGTACTGTTCTTTACAGGTTTAGTTGATTTAATTCCATTTATCACATTTGATGTCAACTCTTCACAAAATCAAAATGACGAGGAACCAATGGAAGTGGATAGAGATGCTGAGCACATAAAGCACAACACAGATTTCATTAAAAGCTACCTCATGTTGAAGCAAGCTAACAGGGAAACATCTCAAAAATCCACACTGGGTAGTGCAGTTCACTCTACACTTTCAAGTTCCTTATACTTGATCAGTAAAAGCGTGGAAAATGAAGTGTTATCAATCCCAATAATCACAGACTATTTCCAAGTCATCAGTCAGCTAAGTTCTGCAATGGAAAAGAATTTTCCATGCCTTGAAGTGCAAGAACTTGTGCAAATCATTATTGACAGAGCTCTGAGAGGTGATAAACTTGAGGTAGCAATTGCTTTTAATTATTGTTTACTGTATATATACAGGCTTGGCCCATAAATATTTGAAAATGATTTTCATCCCATTTTTGCCAAGACACACTCGGTTCTTTTATAGACAAATAACCCTGTCTGTTTGAATTCACCCTCTGAGGACAAGAATAGAACGGGGCCAAAAAAAATTTGAGTAGCTTCTATGCAAATTTCTATGCAACAATATGACTCAATCTCATAATCACAAAGATTGTCAAATTCAAAATTAGGCTTCATGGTAATTCACAATGAACTAATGAAATGCAAAAAAAGAACTAGTTTTTAAGGTTTAAGTGATAATTAGACAGAACACTATTTCCCCCTTGTACATTTGGTATATTTCTAGAACATGTATTACCAAAATGAAGAATTTTAAGTTTCCATTAGAACATGTATTACCAAAATGAAGAATTTTAAGTTTCCATTATATTGCACATATTGAATTGTTGGAATTTGTTCTTTTGCATAGAGAAAACAGCGGAGAGAGTTAATCCTTACACTAAAACACCTTCTGATCCCTCAGATGAGAGACCATATTTTGGACAGTTTACTGGCAGCAATTGAGAGTTTTTCCACTCATTTAAGGACAGTGAGCCAAAATAAAACACCCCTAAATACAATGCTGTATGAAAATATCTATTACATCTTTGATATGCTTCAAATTGTCCTTAAAGATCTCAAGGATGAATGTAGTGGTATCACTTCGGGAGAAGTTAATCCAAGTCAGAGATCTCTAAGTAGTGACCAAAGGCTTCAGACAGCAAGTATTTTGTCTGAAGTTACTGAAAGACTTGACAAATGTGTATTGTATATTTCAGATAGCTTTCCTTTGTTCGTCTGTAAAATATGGCTAATCAAGTGTAATTTCTTGTAACGTTGCCAAGTAAATAAAGGTGTTTTATATTTTTTCTTGTGTAAATCTTAATTCACATACAAGAATTTTTTTTTTGTACCTGCATGTAGTACATGTTTACTAAGAATAGATTCTTACAGAAAGTAAAAAAAAAAAAAAATTCAATGGATTGTGGACATTTTGTTTCCTTCTGATATTTTCATTATTAATTTTTTCCAGCAAGAAATGGGCATAAAATTAAGAGAATAATTCTGGAGAAAAAGAAAAGAGGACTTAGGTAATGAATTTATTTCAGGTCATAAACAAGGTTCAGGAACATAACAATAATCTGATTACTAACTAAACAACACAAGCTTATTATGTACATGAATTGAGGTAGCCTTTCAGTCTGATCTGACATTAACTGTTATATCACTACAATGTAAGAATGTCTGTGGTGAGTATGATGGTTCAAGTTTGGTATTTTCATTCTTAATCCACTTTTGTCTTTTTCTTGCTGGGTGAAGAATTCGCATCAGATTTTCTTTTCTTGCTGGGTGAAGAAGCTGATCCAGATTTTCCTTTTTCACCTAAAAAAAAAAAAATTCAAAAAAAAAAAATTAAAAATGTAATCAAAATATGTACTTTTGTTTGGCAAACCAGTTTTGTTCAATGTTTACAGTGAATCATACAGGGAATTTTCAATCAAAACTTTAGTACAAATCAATGTTTAAATAGTGATGTACAGTTGAACTTCTGTATCTCAAACACTGATATCTCGAATACCATGGGTATGTTGTAGTGATTTGTAAGTCCCCACCACTTACTTATTATTCTTTAGGTATTTTACCCTGGACATCTCGAATCCTCGGATATCTCAAAGTATTTTCTCAGTCCTATGGAGTTCGAGATAACGAGGTTTGACTGTATTTATTTTCTCTCTGATTGACACATGTACTAAAATCACTCCAGAATTTGACATCAAAACAGGACCTATACTTGTTTTCTATTAATATCTACTTTCAATGATTTTCTTTACCTGAGTTTTCAGATTTGCCAGCATTGTACACTTTAGCCATTCTTTCTATATTCCTTTTCCTCATATCATCATGGTCTACTATAGGTTTAGGGTAGTCTTTTCCAATGATGCATCCTGCCTTTTCCTGTACCTTGAGGGGTGCCTTCCAAGGCTCATATATATATGCTGTTGGAAATTTACTAAGCTTGGGAATATATTTCCTGGAAAAAATATAAAAGACTTTTTCTATTATAAACAGCACTATCCACATAAAGTCATTAACTAATTGTAAAACTTGAACATTTATAATTATAGCTGAAAGTAGTTAAAAGCTGAAATTGCAGTAAGAATCTTGACATTTACCCCTCTTTATACATTTAAGATTAAAAAAAAAAGACTTGCACAGATAAATAAGTGCATGTTTTTATGAATTGTAATATTACAATATGGATATAACATGAAGACCCAGTGGTCAATAGAGAGTCATTATACCTGATGTAGTTCCCATCTTTATCAGTCTTTTTACCAAATGCAATGGGGCTGTACACCCTGAAGTACTGGTGAAAGAAAGCAGAGGCAGAGAGCCACATCCAGTTCCCAGCATTCAAGCTCCAGTCTGCATCTAGCAGGTACTCCTCAAACACCTAAATAAAGATCAAAATAATCATACTGGTACAATGTATATAGTGTATGTAATGCACAAATGCCCTCAACTTCTAACTATCAATCCTTTTCAGTCTACTCATGTTTCCAAATATGCCTAAGTATAATTAAATAATAATTCATTACTGCAAAGATTTGTACTTAAAAGATATGCATATTGGCAAAGATTAGTGCAATCTTTCCTGCTAAAATCCCTTTGTGGAGAAATTAGATAATTCAACTGATTCTGCTGGAGTATAAGCTATTGGACAACTTGTATTTCTAGATTTTGGCACATCATCTACAAGGCATTCATCAACGTCAGTAAAACTGGACATTGCCACTAGGCTCTGTACAATCCTTTAGTGTGTCTTTAGTATAGGCAGGTTACCTTCATCCCTTCCTCCCAGCTGATCCACAGATCCCCCCTAGTTAAGAAGCAGGCCACAGCATGTCTGGCTAGATGATGCACCCATCCTTCTTGTTTTAACTGAATCATTATGGCATCAATGAATGGATAACCTGTTTTCCCCTGAAATAACAACAGATTTCCTTCCCAATTTATCAATGTTAACGTATCTACATCAATTACTTTGGCATATACAACACTCCTACATTAAAACTGTATTTCAATATTTGTCAAATCCTACTTACTGGAAAAATATTTTTATCCATATGATTCTAAACCACTTGTATAAATTAAAAGAGACATTTTGTTTTAGTTTATGCTTGTAGACTTTAAGAATGTTTTTTTGTTTGGTATATTTTTCCTCTTAATTACCTCTTTCCAAGCCCTCAGATACACCTCATTGGTGTCCCAGGGAATCTGTTTGGACACTGGGTTTCCCTCCATTTGATTGAAGTTAGGTGTGTCTGCTGCAGCAGTGTAGAAGAATTCCCGCCATAGCAGCTGACCATGCAATGAAACTGGAGGAGAGGTGTGCTTCTACACAAGAACAAGATTAAAATTCAGCTCAGAGGTATGGATCTTAGGATAAATTATAATAACAAAGAAGAAATTTGATTCATCCTTTCGCAAGAAGAGCTGTCAGAAATTTTTTTAACAAAAATATGTAAAATTGAATAGCATTTCATTTGAAGATCAAACATTCTTTTACAATTTTGCATTTTTTTCGATAGAATATAAGGTTTAGTTGTTTTAGACCTTTTGACTACTTTTACGCATCTCTTCAGGGCAATAATTGATTAATTGTGATACTCACTGAAGTGCTATTTATACATATTTAGTGAAAGATCAAAATTATGGAAACCTTGCTCTAAAATCCAGTACCTGGTAAATGAAAATAGCTGTAAAGATGTATAAAAAGAACATTTCTATACCTTGGCCTTACTGTAAACCTCCTGAAGCTTGTAGTAGAACAGCCTAGGAGATAAACAACCAAACTTCAGATAGGGACTAAGGACAGTTGTACTTGGTTCTAACGTGTTTGGTTCCGTCTTTGGTTTCTCAAATGTGCAAATCCAGTTCTGCAAAATTCAAAACTTTTTTTTAAAAAGAAAACCTGATCAGTTGTCTACTATGCATTACACAATAAAGCATAGTATGCCAGCTAATGAAAGTAAAGTGCAATAAATTATAGCAATATTAACAGTCACAGGATAACATTTCAGTAAACTATGCACTTCAAATACAAGAACTTTATCAATCCAGGTGATGGAAGCCTAAGTTACACTTGAGACAGATGTTCAGATAAAGTGTTTACATTTTTCTGAATCATGGACTCCATCCTCCTCAGTGCCTCTGTTTCTCCCCCAGGGAAGAGGAGAAGACCACAGTCTGCTTTGGACTTCCCTAGATCCTCAAGGGAGGGAACTCCATACTTCTTGTCATGATCTGACTCTGTCTTAGTTTTACATTCTACAAAAACATAAAACAACACAAAGAATTAAATAAGGAATCCTACAAAATTAACTTACTTAGAATCTCTAGACAAGGGTTATTTTACGGATAAATAACACAATTTTTTTTTTCAGAAATCAGCAATACATCAAATAGATTTATGTTCATATAGATAACTTGAATAATGTTTGCCAGAGTAAGTGTGGAAATTTTGAAAGACTTTGTAATGATGTCATAAAATGTATACAAAAATTCTATTGATTTTTATAGCAAATGACTCATAGTTCCATATTTAAACATCAAAGAAAATCTACAATTTAATTCTTATTATTTCTGTCATTTCTATTCAACTCAGTCAAAAAAATATATTTTTGGTATTAATTCATGCAGCAATTTTTTTGTTTGTATTATTTATCTATAAAGCATCCTCAATTACATACATAATTTTTTACTGCTTCACTCTTTTTCCCTCATAAGATTATTATAAGTAAGACCAGATGAACAATATAACTTTATTGATTGGGTTCAAGGGCAACATGCATTTTGTCTGACCCAAGAACCAAACTGTTTGCCTGAGGCTATTAGGCCAAAGGCAATCAGTTTGGTTTGAGGGGTCGACAAAACGCATTTTGCCTGAGAACACAGTCAATAAATGCTTTGTTATACCTTTTACTTTTTATTTTGACAATTAACATGATGTAAACTTCATTTACCCGCACTGCAGTTTAAACTTGGTCAATTCCGTTAAGTTCTGTTGAACTACAACGAATGCAAATGAGATATAGCACTGTGACGTAAGCAGTCCAATATCTCATCGACAGGCCCAATATCTCACTCTGCGGTCAAACTTCAATTTTGTTTATGACCGCTCAGTAAAAAAGTGAAAATGTTAGACTTTTTAGCTCACCTGAGCTGAAGGGTCAAGTGAGCTTTTCGTATCACTTTTTGTCTGTAGTCCGTCTGTCTGTCTGTCCGTCTGTAAACTTTTCACATTTTCGACTTCTTCTCAAGAACCACTGAGCCAATTTCAACCAAACTTGCCACAAAGTATCCTTGGGTGAAGGGGATTCAAGTTTATTCAAATGAAGGGCCATCCCCTCTTTCAAGGGGAGATAATAAAGAATTAGTGAAAAATTAATAGCATCATTTAAAAATCTTCTTCTCAAGAACCACAGGGCCAGGAAAGATGAAACTCATGTGGAACCATCCTCAGGTAGTGTAGATTCAAGTTTATTCAAATCATGACCCCCAGGGGTAGGGCTGGGCCACAATGGAGGATCAAAGTTTTACATTGAAATATATAGGAAAAATCTTCTCAAGAACAGCAAAGCCATGATGAGTCATATTTATATGGAAGCATCCTCAGGTAGTGTAGATTCAAGCTTATTCAAATCATGACCCCCAGGGGTAGGGCGGGGCCACAATGGACGATCAAAGTTTTACATAGAAATATATAGGAAAAATCTTTAAAACTCTTCTTCTCAAGAACAGCAAAGCCATGATGAGTCATATTTATATGGAAGCATCATAGGTAGTGTAGATTCAAGTTTGTTCAAATTATGA